TCCTGACTCACATAAAATACTCCAGGAGCTATAAACCAAAGCCACAAATACTCCTGCCCTTAAAACCTTCTTATTGCTGCCAAAGGTGAAGGACTGGTGTGATGAGGAGCTGTCACTTGCTCCAGGTCATTTGCTGTACAGGAATATACAAAGCCCCAAGGTGCGCCCAGCAGCAATCTCACTTTGTACTTCTTTTTCCAGACCTCCAGGCTCCCCCTCTTTGCCATGCAGAATTTAATTGCTCTGCCTACAGGTAACCTTTACAGAAGTCATCTTCCCAGAGGCAGGGTTTTGGATCTCCCTCTTTATGCTCAGTCAGTTCCTCCAATGCTTCGTTTACTGACTTTTGAACTATTTAATTAGCAGAAAGCAATGCTCTACCAAATCAAGCTGCCAAAAAAAATCAAGCATGTTGTTTTCATGTTGACAAAAAGTCTGTTACCGTAAGTGCTACGGTGGCAGACACTTTGCAATAATTAAACTAAATGGGAAATGAAAGGCTTGTGCTTACTGAAGACACTGAGATTGACAGATCTAATTTTTTTCCTTCATCTTTTTCCTTTCTAATTTTCCCTCTTTCCATTATCCTAATGCTAAAACCAGCAGGCAGCAGTGTCCCCAAATCCTCAGCAAGGACAGTGTTTTGACTGACCTTTCTTAATTCATATTTGTCTGATAAAGATACCTGATGGGAGGTTTTAGGTGCTGCAATAATAACAGGGAAGCACTGTATGCATGTCCCCATTTTCTAGCTCCATGCCCTGGAGATGGGTTGTGCTGTCACCTGGCATGAGGAACCTTTGGGGGTTGAGCTCAGCTACTGCTCCTGAAGAGCTCCTTCTTCCACCCGATGGCAGTGTTCTCCTTGCTTTTAGCTTCCAGCCCAGCTTCGCTCCAGAGACAGCCAACCACAGCTGCCTGGGCTGGCCTTGGCAGCAGCTCCAAAAAAACTGCTCCAAAGCAGCAGTGACAAAAGGCAAGGCTGGAAGTAGGGAAGGGAAAGCTGAAGAAATAAAACCTCAGAAATATTTAAGGTAGAAAAGGTAGCAAAAGGATTCTGAGTTACAGAGGGCTTTCTCTCAACACAGGCATAAACATTACTGGTCCTTGTATAATTTCTGACATAAAGACATAGCTACACATAAGCTCACATGAAAAAACAGATTGACTGTGGATTTCACTGCTGTTTACAGCCATCACAGTTTACCAAAATGCAGCAGATAAACTGACACAGGCAAAGATGGGTCTGTTAGATGCAGAAATGTTGATACACCATTTAATTCCTTTGAATTCCGCATTCTCCATTTGAGATATCCGGGCTTTTGGTGAAGCCCATGCCTTAGATCCCAGAAGAGTGAAAACTGGCTTTATGTCTTTAAGGAGCTATGTTATAACCACAAACATCTTGCTGATTTTTTAAAGAGTCAGATTTCTGAGTGCTTGGGTTCATAACTGTTTTGGCTAGTGGTGGTGGCAAATGAGAAGGATACACAAATTGCAGAGGTTTGATCACTGCACAGGTCAGGTACATGGGCTCAGGGGACAGTTTCCAGCTCAGGGCCACAATTAAAAACTCAGGGTGGCCTGAACACATTGCAGTGTTTTAGAAACAAAATCCTGGACCTCGGGCAACCTGATATTGATTGCAGAGGAGAACGGGTCTCATCAGAAAAGTGTCTCTGCCTGGAAGGTTGATTTAAAAACATGGGCAGAGTTGATTGAGTTCTCCAGCACAAAGCCTGGAAGTAATTCTTTACTTGTAAATTTGAAATGGGTCCCATTCTTAAAGCATCTCTTTCAAATTCTTGAGTAGAAAACTAAAGGCAGCACAGCCCAAGGGAACATTGCCCTTCTTAAATGTTTTCAGCATTCAGTGTCAATCCAGTGCTGAACTGAAAGCAAGACATTGCTCATGGTGTAACTGAAATCAGCAGGGATGAATCTTATCCTTGATATTATACCAATTAATTCAGTTTCAATTGGAGATGAATTTGCTCCATCATGTCCAGTTAAAGAAAAAAAAAATAAAATTGTAAAGCAAAGAAAAATAAATCTATAGTAACGGTGATTTACCAGATAGTTCAGTGCTACCCTGTTCCTTTCACTGTAAGGATATTCTTTGAAGGTTAGCCAGACCAGTGTATAGATATGGAAGAAATAATGATGCAGAAGCTGTCCTTTTTTCTAATATGCACATTAAAATTTGGCTGCTGGGAGAGATGCTAATGGAAATATTCTTGGCCCCAGCTTTTGCTTGATAGATTAATGTGATATTTATATACAAGGCAAATGAATAGAAATATTCAAATTTACTGGAAAATGCAACTTCTACCCAATATAAGGACAAATGGAGGATATAATGTATAACATTTGAATTTAATAAGGAAAAGTTTATTTGTATCCCAACCTTTATTGTAGGCTATGCTGAGTTCAGGGTAGAGTCTCTGGCTCAAAAATGTTTTAAGGGAAGTTCTTCAATCCTTGTTTTCCAGAGAAAAGTTGCAGTTTTCAAGTTTACGGAAGAGTGCATGTGTTCTTTCTGTTTGTTATTATTTTATTTCACGTTTACCAGCATTGCCCAAAATCTATTCATAAAAATAAAATGTAAAAAAAATAAACACAAATTTAGGGTATATTTATGTTACATATCACTGAATTTGGATCCAGTATTTCAGAGTCTATAGTAGAATAAAATGCCTTTGATATTTCAGCATAAACAAAGCTGTCCTCAAAGGAAGAAATCCATTATGCCTGAGGAGACTATATGGTATTTGCAGATAGGATGCAGAATTAGCTCATATACAACCCAAAATACACGAACAAAAGCCAGAGAAAGAGAGGGCCCAAGGCCCACAGCAGTGTGGGACATAAGAGTACTCCCAACGGGCTCCAGAATTATCTGAATTAGATAAATTTAACTAACTGGTAGAGTGAGGATCTCTTTTGCAGTATTTCTTCTGTAAATAAAGAAGGAACACTAAATCAACATATTCTATGACTTGGGAGCAGTTTTAAAAGAAAAGTTTGTTTCTCAAGCATTTTTTTTTGGCAAGGCACATGTTCTTCTTTCAACCTGAAGCTGTTCTTGCTGGAATTTTTAGCATACCGTGTGCCAGCAAACTTCTCTTATTGTTTCAGAAGGCCCAGAGCTACAGAAAGTCTGTGCCTTCACCTCTGCTCGGTGTGAATTAAATGTTGCACACCAGACAAGTATTTACTTTCTGGGAAAAGGTCAGGTGAAAATTTATTAACAGAATCTACCTCAACAATGAGACTGGAAAGAATGGCACACCTTCCTGGGGCTGGGATTTGCAGATCCTCAAGTCTTCCCACTGCTTATCATATGTAAACCAAAATCACAGTTCTATGTGCCTGGTAATCTCTTCAGGATGTGAGACAAAATTTGTGCTTCATATCAGAGAAATAGCTTTCCAGTGGCAAATTTATTATTTATATGATTTATTATTATTCATTTGTAAAAAACCCCATGTTGATAGGTGAGGGCAGCAAAAAGAAAAGGTTGTTTAGCTTTTTTATGTATTTTTTTTTTTACATATGATCAGTATTTCTGAAACAATGCTGAAATTGCCAAGTTTCCATAAAAGCCCATCTTCATGACTTACCATTCTTCCCTGTGATACAACTAGCAGTACCACACCGATTAGCAGCAGGAGAAGAGCCTCCCCCACTTGCAGGCTAAGATCTACCAGGTTTTATGACATTAAAAATGCAGCTTGGCTCAGCTCTGCCGGGACTGTGCATAAAGACTCTTCTCTCAGATACTGGTGGCATTGACACATTGTCATCCAGTGCTGAGTTTGGTGTCTTGAAAGGCTGGAACACTGATGCTTTGGATTAGTGACTCAACAATCAATCTTGACATCATCATGAGTCACCTGGATGGTTTTCTTTGTGCCTCTCATGGCCATGACTTGAGTCTAGCAGCAGAAGGGCTTTATATTATGTTTATCTCCTACCCCTCTGCTTTGGAAATAAAAAAAACAAAAACAAAAAAAACCCAAACATGTATCTTTTATGATTTCTTGAAAAATGTTTTGTTTTCTGAGACCAAGCATAAAAACTTTGCCATATGAAAGCATAGATCACTGGGTACCCAGCTGTCGCCTGTGGCTGTTAATGTTCTTACATAAAGCAGATTTCAGGAGTAGCTTAAAAAAAAAACAAACAAAAAAAACCTGCCTGGAGGACAAATCATTTGACAAATTAGAAAGTGTGAGCCATATAAATGTTTATGAGATGTGCCCATGCTTAAAGCCAAGCTCTACAAATTGTTTTTATGACACCATTGACTATGCAGAGCAAAGGGGACCGCTGCCTATTCCCTAATGTCACCCCTCAATCAGCAGGAGCCCTCTCTTCTGGATGATTCAGTGTGTCCATATTGTAATCCTTAGTGGCAGGGAGAGGTATTTACAACTTCCTAACCTGTAAATAAAATATCAAACTTCGGAGCACGGTCACTGTGGGTTATTTACACTATGCAGCCAGAGAAATGTTCCTCCAGGAGAAAATTTAATACACCCAACTTAAGTCCTGTTAACTAAAGCATGAATTCTTGCTGACACAAGATTGCAACAGCAAAACAACGACCGTGCTCCCTGCAGCACCCACAGTTTGGCTTCTTATTCCTACAGTGATATAACTGAAAGTGCATTTAGGCTCCTGAATGAAAGATAATAGTTCTGTGTAAAATATCATTGTTAATCATCTTTATTTACCAAGAGGTAAATTTGGTTCATAGAAACAGGAGGTGTGGTCTGTAATGCAACTGGGGCTGGCCCTGTGACAGACGACTGACATGACATGACATGACATATGAAATTTGGGATGCCTTGGTTGGCCGCTTAGCTGGAGACCCTCCAGGCTGACATGCCCTGTCCCTGCTCCCAGGCTCAGTTTCAGACCACAACAGAGGGAGAACCTTTCACAGGCACAAATAGTCATAAACATTTAATAACTATGTTTTAATCTTTTGGCAGAGATAAGGATTGTCAAAAAATATGGGAATCATTAAAAGATGCGTTCATTTACAAGAATCCCTGTAATATCACACCAGAAGATTATCAGCCTTTAATGGAGCTGGCGAGTCATCCTATACCCTGTAACAAGGTAACATCACAGTGCAGGGTGGGCTGTGGTGGGATGCCAGGTCTGGGCAGTGCTCGGAGCAGTGGGATCTCACCCATAACAGCTGTGAGGGTCTGTAGGTTGATGAGGATGGCATTTTACTTTTGCACTTACTGCAACAGTCCTGCAGCTACACCTTTGGACCCCAGTAACCCTGACCATAATCTATCGCTGGGAATCACCCCTGTGTAAGGCTTGTCTCAAGCCAGGATCATCCCAGTGAAGTGACAGGGATGTCCCCATTCCCTGAGCACAAGGCTCTGTAAGGAGCATGCCATCACGCCGTTAGGGGGACACTGCTTCCAGAAAAGCAAACAACAAATTTGGTATATATCCTATGAAAACTAGTCAAACCTTTCTTTCAAAATCCTTTAAAAGCTCAACATGCCCCTTTTCACAAAAAAAAAATAAAAACACCCAAAATATTCTGCAAATGAGTGTTCAAGTAAGAACTGACTCACTAGGGTGAGCTCACTGCATTTCAATAAAATTAAATCTCCTTCATTATCATGAACTTTCTGGTTTTCTCCAGAAAAGGTTTCTGACCAGCTGTAGTATAGCTATCACTTACCAGACATTGTACCTTATTTCACAGTCACTGTTCTGGAGCAAGACAGGTGACCTCGTTCATCGTTATACAAAATCCAATCAAAATTTCCTTACCTTGGAGGACACCTTGCTGGGTTATATGGCTGATAGAATTTCATGGTGTGGAGACCCATCTGCTCCAGGTAATCTACACCTAAACATAATCCTTTTCACATTACTTTCTAGTGATTTAGTTTAAAATCTTTACTGTCCAATATTTTGGAAGTCTGAAAATAATACATATTTCTCAGGTTAAATTAAAAACCACCACAACTTTGGATGTTATTTTAACACCAAGTTGTTGCTTGGCCACATCTAGCTCCCTTTACTTTGTTTGCTTGCTTCCACCCTGTGGTTCCCATGGGACAAACTGCAAAGCAGGAATGTCATCCAAAAAGGACCTGGCCATGGGCCAGTTAAAGTGCTGGGGCAGTGAGCAAATGCCTTGGAGGTATTGCTGCCCATACGACTCCTGGGTTGGTGCTTAAGGCTAGGAACCTCTAAACTGGGCTGGAATTACTGAAAATGTTGGGCAAAGTTTAATTTTAAAGTGCATTCAGACAGTACTTGTCAAGGGCTAACCTGTTTCTCACATTTGGGACTGTGTGTTTTCCCTTCTCAGTTTTCTGAGAATTATTTGTGATATGGGATCTGCAACTGCCTCCCTGAAAAGACTGTGAGCAAACAGGAAGACCTTTGAACAGATGCAAATTCCTTTTAGAGCCCTCTCCCCATTTAGCCTTCTTGCTTTGGTACAGGGGAAATCTTTTTGCTCACAAAGCCACATAAGCCTTGCAAAAATTTTCACTCTAACCTTAGCTATTCTATTAATGTATTTTTTCTCAGGAATCAACTATGAATCTTGTCCAAAACGAAGTGAATGTGAGAGCAACCCCGGCTCTGTGTTCTGGAAAATGGCATCCAAGATGGTGAGATCTAGACTAAATCTCCCTGAATCCAAAAGTGAGGAAAGGCACTAAGTTCCTGATATGGGCAAAATATATGATTTTGCAGATTGGACTTAAAAGATGGAATAATAGAAGTTGACGAAAGCTTTAGCTCCAGGTGTTAAAAATCATGATATTGGAATCCAAGGTCCCATTTTATGTACAACATTTGATGTCCTTGTAGTTTGGGCACTCTTTTAGTTGTCAGAGGCTGAGTGTCAGTGTCTAGAACAAGTCTTGGCAGAGAGCTGGAGCTCTGCAAATAATACTCACAATTACAACAATCACCTTAATTAAATCACAGGACGTAAATTGCTACAGTAAAATCTATTTTAGCATGCTCATGTGGAAAACAGCACCCAGATTGGCACAGACATTTTCCAAGAGGCTGAGACCCCCCTTGCACTTCCCGGCATAAACCTGAAGAGCACATCCTCCCACATCAGTGCCTGGCAAGGTGCCTGTGATGTCCCCACCCACAGACACTTGCCAACTCCCATCACAGGAATGAGATCCTGCTAGTCCCAATTAAGCAACTGGCCTGGCTTTGTTGAATCAGCACTTTACAGGAACAAACTGCCAGAGAAAAGCCTGATGTCCTGTATTACTTTAATTTTATATGTCTCTCAAGATTTCACCCTTGGTATAACTATTAGTAGATGACTGCCCAGGTGGAAAACAAGCATTCCTGTATGCTCCAGCTCTCATGGATGTAAGAAAAAGTCAATCCACCATTAAAAAAAATTGTTTTGAGTGAAAATGGTTCAGTTCCAGAGTCTGTGAGAGATAAAACCACATACAGACTCATGTTTGCTCAGCTGCAGGCTTCCTTGCCATATAAATTTAAGATCTACTAAAACTCATGTTTATTACATTTGAAAGTTACGCATAATGAAACTTCCTGAAACTTTGCAGCTCTCAAGATTTGAATTTGCACCACATAGTTTAAGAGGACATGAAAGTACATTGTTGATAAGTACAATCACCTGCATTAAGCTTTTTAAAAATTCTTTGCCTTACCAATGGATTTTGTGTCTAGAGTAGGTACCATATAGACTTTAGTAGTCTTTAAATATTTAGACATGAGTTTAAAAGAATAAAAAAACAGTGATTAAACGATCCAGTATGTTAAAAATCAAATCAAACAAAACACAGTGATAGTTTTACTAAAATATCAAGAGAGAAAAATCCCAGGCCCAGGCCACAAAAGAACACAGAGCATGAGTCACAAGGAAACAAGTATGTGATGGTCTGTGTATCCTTAAACTAGTGATACCTCTGCTCTGGCTTGTCCTTACTTTCTAAGCTAAAGCAGTCTGAGGATTAATGTGAGTTCCTACAGACAGCTGCAGCTGCAGGGGCTCTGGAAAGCCCTATAAAAAGTGAAACCTGACAAGCTGATGTACCAGTCCCATGCAACCTTAGACTGCCAATTCATAGCTGTCAAATAAGGCTTTATCACAGTTTTGCCATAGCCTTCAGAGGCTTTTATTTGCGCTGAAATGTTCTGCAAAAAAACTGCCCAGATCCTCTGCTGGTATTAGACTGTTCTGAGGACATCAATGAATTCCAGCAGCCCCAAGTCTGCCATGGCACTGCATGTAGTATCAGAGTGTAATGTCCATTGCCTTGGTTCAGTTTGCAGAAGCAGCGTGTGGTGTGGTTCAGGTGATGCTCAATGGATCAGTAGAAGCTGGAGCTTTCAGAAGCAGCAGGTATTCACTCAACACACAACCATTCATGTTTCTGTGGGGTTGCATGTGGTTGCGTGTGAGTCCCACTGCAGAAGGGATTTTGGTAAAACACCTACAATCACCCCTGGCTGTTGTAAAGCTGATTCTTTTCACTCCTATACAGAGACTGTAACTGAAATCCTTCAGAGGGTAGGTGGGTGGTGTGCTCAAAGGAACTTGATTATTACAGTTTCTTTGATTTTACTTCACTAGAATTTGCTACCTGGCTGGAAGTGCAGTCTTGAATAAGATTAAAATATGAATATGCTTTCTGGGGGAACAGCCATGGTCATTTCCCTGGCACTAAACCAAATCAATAGCCAGGAAACTGAACAGGAGAAGAGGCACTAAAGATGGCAAAACTTCAGCTTGTTTCTGTCTGCAGGCAGTTTCAAAAGTTCTCCTGAAATAAGAATGGGGAGACAACATTTGACCATAAGGCAATTAAGTTGTCTATGGAAATCCTTTGCCAATATAATGTTCTCTCACTGAGTGTAATAGCAGCAAAAATAAGCACTAGTATTTGGGGAGCATACTCTCTACATCTTTCTGAGATAACTTAGAGTGTTTTGCTGTTTCATGTTCATTCTTACAGCATTTTTGGAAGTATTGAGATCTTTAACCTGGATCCAGATAAAGTCTCTAAAGTGCACATTTGGCTTATGCAAGACATTGGTGGACCTCAAAGGTAAGTCACACTGGTGTACAGGGAGGAGCAGTGTGTGGAAGCTCAGGTCTGACAGCAACATTGTCTTAAACTCTTGAAATCTGCTTTACACTCACATTCTAGGTGTTTACTTTGCAGGAAAAAACAACATTTGTACTATTATTTCCTCTAGTATTTTTTTAGGTACTGCTGAACAGTTATAGGTGTAACACAGTGACATGTCCCTTGCTTTCAAGAGGTCCCATGACCTTTAAGTTCCTTTCAACTCCATTGAGGTCTACAGAGCTTTGCTATATCTATAGCAGCACTGAAGTCAGAGATCAGGCTATGTCTGCAAGGATAGACATGTCCATGTATCCATCCAAACATGGATATGTTTGTCCACAGGAATAGTGTAATTATGCTGAGCACAGCCATTTTGGAATGACAGAACAGGTTGTGCAGTCTTCAGGACATACTCAAAACCTAACTGGGACCTGGGCAACCTTTTCTAGCTCATATTGGTTTGACTAGGTGATCACAAGCAGTCTCTTATTACCTAAATGATTATGTGATTTTTAATAACAAATAATTATAAATAATTTCAAAACTAATAATTTCCAATAGTTGAAATGCTTACCATGGAATTACTGATACCAGAACAGCAACCTCAACTCTCATCTGAGCCTTTCTGAGTGATATTTTTCATCCCAGTCAGATTCATTTGCAGATCTACCACATTTGAAACACCAAGCATGAGGCTCTGTGCCTTTGACCCCTCCTTTCAGAGCCAGTTCTGTGGCTCACATGGTCATAATGCACTGCCACAGTTTCTCCCATTCTTAGCGATCTCCCCGACAGAAATGGCAGCTTTGGTGCCATGGATCAGGAAGCAGGCTGGGATGATGCAGTGCAGCTCAGGAAGGAGCGTGGACCTTGCTCAGCCTCGCTTTCTGGCACAGTTCCAGCTCCAGTGTTGCAGCCCCTCTCTTAGCCCAGACACCAGAAGTGTCCCCTTTCCACATGAGCTGGCACACCTGCCATGGCTCACAGGTGTGCATCTGTGCTGAGACCAGCATAGCAGTCTTGTGGTCCTTTGCATAGAGGTTTGCTGAAGAAAAAGAAATTGAGTGATCATTAAATCAGTTTCCCCAGACATGGCACTGGATCCTTTGTCCCATGATTTCCCAGCATCAGAAAAGCCACCTTGTTCCCCCTCAACAGCTTCAACAAGGCAGTGCCCTGCCGGCCCTCTTGCTGAACACATCCTCCTCCTGTGACAAGTTCATAGCAATTTTCTGTCCATTTTCTACTTGCTTCTAAGGAGACAGTTGGGAGGTAGCCCCAATAGTATGTATTCCTGATATAATAGTATGTATTCCTTGTATCTTCTGATTTGTATTCCACGTTGAATCACTGACAACTTGTAAAGTGTAGAGAACAAGAAAAAGCTGGCAGTGCTCTCCAGTGATGTCATATGTTAGGAACTGGATTTGTCCCCAGTAGTAGAAGTGAGTCCTATACTCTGGATGAGGAGATGATTTTTACCTTGAGGTAACAGGTCTTTGCCATGTCTCTGTCTGTGCCTATGACATTTGTCAAACCTCTCACAACAGCTTTGGGGCCCTTGGGCTATTTAGTTAAATTAAACATAAAGATCTTGAAGGCATCAGAGTGTTACATGCTTCTTGAAACCTTTATCTGGATGGGAAATAGATACACAAGTTAGGGCTCCTACCAATGCAAAAGTGGTTGAAACAGGCTCTTGCCAAAATAGAGCAGCAGCTGCAGCCATAAACTGAGTCAAACAAACAGGAGATGCTCATAGCCTGCTTCCTCCCCTGCTTTCTATCAGTTTCCTATTATCTTACTTCCTACCTGGGACCTAGCTGCTGGTTTTCATGACTGCCCTATTCTCATCACACAGAGGACTTGACCCTTTTGCCCTTTGACAGATTTCAATCAGCCTTGTATTGTGCTGCTGTTGCCACCAGGAGCAGTGGAGCAGTTCTAGAGCGCCCTGAACTGTGAATGGGACTGAGTCATGTCCCACAGATGTCCTGCACAAAGCTCTCATGCAAGATGCACAGCTGAACATCACATAGCTTCTACCAGCAAGGGCCCAGTGGTAGCCAAAGCTCCACAAACCCAATGGACTTTACAGCACTTTAGCAAACAAACTTTTAAAGAATCTTGCCTATAATAAAGCAGTGACATAGTGTGGAATTTAGGTGAGCTGATTTACACACAAGGAACACAAGTAACTGAAGCTTTCTCTCGACAGTGAATCCTGCTCAGGTCATTCCATTCAGAGGTTAATCAGCATTTTAGAAGAGCGAAACTTTAAGATCATCTGTGAAGACAATTACAGGTAATTATCCACTCTTATTGGTGATGACTTTACTAACATAAAACTAATATTGCAGGTTTATGGTGAGCTAGAGCAGAGTTCCTCCTTACTGCCATGGCATCCCTCCTGTGTGAATGGGTCTTTCTCAGGGGCTTCCAGCTGGGCTGTAGCTCTGGGGTTGGCTCTCTGCCCTACACTTCTCATGGAGCATGTTCAGTTGTTTCAAGAGTGGGAGCAATCCAGCCACCAGACTTTCTTCTGACTGGGCTTTTACCTAAATGATCTGAAACAAACAGGCAGCTTTCCTCCCTGCTGCATACAGATAATGCAGGGTGCCAAGGGTGGTCCTTACTTCCTTCACCATAGTTTGAGCATGCTTTCTGTCCTGCTGCTTTGTCAGAGAGTGAGGCATGAGACACGATAAGCATTACTAATTTCTATCATTAACTATTGTCTGGAGCAAAAACAGGAATCTGGGAAACACCAGCCCAAGTCCTGACTTGCCTGAAATCTCCATCTTCCTGCTGAGGAAATACAAAAGCCAGAGACCCTTTATGTGTGGGTTCAGAGACCTTCACACAGAGCAAAATTGTTCTTTAGAGACATTAGAAAAGTAGCAAACATTCAATATTGCTGATATCTTATCTGTCAGGAACAGCTTTTCAGTGTCAAGGACTCATACTTGGGTGAGAACATTTCCAAGGTAAACAGATTTCTATTAACTTCTGAGTTTGTGACAATAGTTTAAGTAAGGAAAAATTGGTCTACAAAGGAGAAAAATGGTAGGTCTTTAAATCTGAAGGCAGAGCAATATATTCCTCTCTGGGTATTGCTGAACCTGATTAATGGGTGCTCTGCACTTTGTAAAAAAGTTAGCACTGATGTGGTGCATAAATCTGCCAAATTGTGAGCTTACTTTCTTTATGGGTAAATGGAACCTTTAAATAATACTCCCAGGACCTGTAAGTAGGTACAGATTATTTCAGCCTATGATGAAATAAACTACAGGGCGAGGCAGGAAGGGGAAAGATATTGTGTTAGACCCCTTGTGGCTTCACACAGGGAGGAACCTGACACACTCATTGCTGTGTCTCTCAACACATAGGACTTTTTGTCAAAGCTCAGCTAACATATATATAAACAACTGGGCAAAGCAACATGGATAATTAATTTTACTATTTAATGTGCATAATAATAATAAAATAAGAAACTTACAGGTAAAACTAAACTTCAGGATAGAGTGTGTAAGTTGGCTGCACTCCCCTGCAGTCATTGCAGACAGAACTGTGTCAATCTGTCAGCTGCGCATCTGCCTTTGCATGCCATGTAGCTGCAACTGGTGCTGGTTATTTTCTCTTGCTTTTGTCCATGCCAACAGTGTCTTCCAGAAGTACCTTTAAAACTGGATTAATTGGATGCATTAGAAAAAAAAAATCTCATCATATCTGACATTCACAGCAACAGCTTTCTATTGTAGTAGTAGCATTTACCAGTGAGTGAGACAGAAGGTGAACTTCCAGCATGGCAGGAATTCCACAGTCTGTGCAAGAGATCTTTCTTCTTTTTCATAGTTATTTTTTATATTGCAGCATAGCTGACATGCTGTGAGGTCAGATCCTGCTTTGTTTTGTACTGACTTGCCCTTGTCCCTAAAAACACCAGTTACCTTTTTGCAGCAAGATCAAAAAGAATTACCCTTAGAAAAGCCATCTGCTTGATAAGCACGGATGTAGCATGCACTTTGACTTTCACATTGCATTCAGTAACTGTGAAGTAATTCTGTTGTGCTTGCAAAGTGATTATTTGTTACCTGACAATTATTAAATATTTGTTTGGTTCTGTGTCTTATTTCAGGCCTGTTCAGCTCCTTCAGTGTGTGCACAACCCTGACCACACAGACTGCAGGCTTTGCACCAACAGCACAGCAATTCCGTGAAGCAGAGTTCTCCGTGCTACTGAAGAATTTTGTTACTTGTGTGTAAAGCTGGAGAAGATGTGGCTACATAGCTAAGAGTGATAACAGTAGCGTGGTGTGTACTCAGTCCATAACCAGAAATCCTTGCTGTGATACTAACAGCCAAATAGCAGGAGATGATACCTGAGGTGTGGTGCTGTACACACACACACAGTTTCAGATGGGCTGGGGCTGTGGTCAGTGATTGAAGGCAGGTGCTTTGCCCTGGTTTGCTCCCTCCTATACAGCTCCCCAATGGCACAGAGCAGAGATTCCCTGGGGCATGCACAGAGAAGAAAAAGACTTTCCAGGAGGAGCAGGACTCCAAACAAGTGCTCATCTTCCTTCCGAAAGGTTAAGCAGGAAATTACATGGGCATGCTACACTTTCCTTGCATCCCAGTGCAACCTTCCCTGGTTGAGGGGAACGTTGCCCAGTGGCACATGGTATAAATAATGATTTTCCCAAGTACTGTGACACTTCTGACCAGGTAAAGCAAGCAATGGAATTGGCAGAGTAGTTCTTGCCTTTTAATGGGATCACAGTAAGCAGCTGGTGGGACAGCAGCTGAGCTGAGCCAAGAAAAAATCAGAAACTGCTCAGGGGGTTGTCTGCACCTGTAAGAACTGCTGAGTGTGCAGCTGGGAGAGAAAATAGTGAGACTGACTCAGATAGCTCCATTAAAATCCTGCTGGATACACCATTGCTGGTCAGATTACATTTTATTCTTAACATAGAAGTAAACACTAGCGTTCCAACTTTCATAAAAGGTCTCTCAGGCCACAGCTTGGCCATCCACTGGAATAGAAACAAACATCAAACAGTTGCCACAATAAGGAGTCTCTCTTGACCTGAGTTTCTACAGTGAAAGGTGATGCCCTGAGGTGTATAATTCACAAGCACTGAGGTACTATAGTGCACTGAAACAGCAGGTTTCACTAATTTCCTTTGATTTCTATTTTACCTGTCTTTAAAAGTTTATACTTTAAAAACAAGTATCTGAGGCCAGCCTGTGGCCACAGCTGTAGTGCTTCTGTGCAGTGCCATTGGCACCAAGAGGACAGAGCAGGCTTTACTGCAGATATACTCCTAGGTGCTGAGGTATGACCAGCAGCTGCCAAACCTTTAGGCAGACTGGGGTTCCCATCATCCCACAGGGAGAAGGTTGTACTTCCACATGTTTTAGTGACTACCCAGATGCAAAACATCGTTATGGAACTACACAAGCTGGTGTAATTTTGAGCATCTCTAGATAAACCTCATCTCTTTAATAGCAATAGAAGGCCTGCACTGAACCTGGCTGGGCCAACCCAAGACCTCATCCATAATGTTTACATTAAGTGAAATGTATTTTTATTTACAAACTGTTATGTAACTACTTAGATGAATCGACATAGACACATACCACTAGTTTCAAATAGGTTATTTCTGACTATCAGTTGAGTTTGTCTTCATGCTCACTTTTGTACCTCTTCTGTTGCAATATAAAATATTGACTGTAAAATCAAGATCTATAATAAAATTGCTGATGACAAATGTTCTTAATTCAGTTTCACATTGTGAAACGCAACCCCAGAAGGTTAAGAAAGAAAGATTCTCAGAAGACCAAAATAGGTCACTTCCTAAAAACAACTCAGAAATCTGTTCAATGTATGAAGCACTATATGCAACCACCCAGGAGAGCAGAGAAACAGAGCACATCCTCGCCAGGCTGTGTTCTCCATCTGATACAGAGAAGTCATTGTCTTTGGAGGTGGCTGGAAGTGAAACATCCTGAGTCTTTATCTTGAGCATAGATTGTTCTTGGCCATAATAGTTAGGAAAGATGATTGTTCTTGTTGGTGGTTATGTAGTAAGATGCTAAGAAGCAAACTGTGCTTTTGGAAGCTGAGGTGCAGAATTAATATGGGCAACTGTGCTGGAGTAAGTGATGGCTTTGTAATGCAGGTGGCTGGCAAGTCTGGGCTGCTTGGATCACATGCATGGCAGAACATGAGCAAGCTCATTTCCAACAAACATTTTTATTATGCATGATCACACATCTGAAATGCCGTGCAGACATGCCCCACCAGAAAAGTATACTTGCAAATCCTACTGCTTTGCTGAAGACTTATCAGGCAAAAAACCCTCCCAAACCAAACACAAAGTGTTCCAAATTCACAGAAAATAAATAAAAGGAAAAATAACTATGCATTTTCCTCACTATTTGGAACAAATGTTTCTTAATGTGGTTTGGAAAAGGTTGAATTTTGAAAATATGCTTTTAGTCTGAAAAAGCTAACTCTCATAATTTGTTCAAGGTAAATAGGCTGGCTTATGCCCCAGGCCCACATCAAACACTGCTAAGGAGTGCTGCCCAGAAACACGAGAGGAATCTGAGTTACTGGGTGATAAGGTGATATCAATGTTATCGCTCCCAGAACCACACTGAGCTGGAAAAGCTACTTCTGTTACCCTATCACAACAGCATTGCTGCTCCCCTGGTCTTTGATGCACTTCACCTGGCCAGAGCCTACAATCATTAAACTTACTAGGAAACAAAAATAGAAAGATTTCTTCTCCTTGGCAGCCAGAACTTGGACTTATGTTTGATTTCATATAATATAGAATGGTTTGGGTTGGGAGGGGCCTTAAAGATTACATAGTTCCAAACCCCCTGCCATGGGCAGGAACACCTTCTACTAGACCAACTTGCTCAAAGTCCCATTCAGCCTGGCCTTGAGCACTGTAACATGGGGAAAAATCTTTGAGAGGGGCTTTGATTTTGTTTATATGTATATTGGCAGCATATTGTGCAGTGGGTCTGGATCTCCCTGGACTCTGGCAGCAGGGGAGTGGTTTTGGATGGAACCTGAGGTAGTGGCAGCACTGCAGGGTCTATCAGTATGAGGTAGAAATTTCCCCTTACTTTTTTTGGGCTACCCTTCATGCAGGTACCTGAGGAGACTCCCTGATACTCAAAACAGCGACCCTCGGACACTGGCTCGCATAAGGTATCTCAGTAGAAAGAATAGAAAAATGAGATCACCAAGCATTCAGGTGAACAGCTGAATTTAATAAATTTTCTCAACACCAATATTTACAGGCTTAAAATGACAATTAAATGGACTAAGAGACTGATCCTTCATATTAAAAAGCTTGAAAGGAGCAATGGCTAATCTAAATAAAATTCTTTGCATGTAAAATCTGAAGGCTGTTGAAAAGATTGAAAACAAATAGTTTGTCTGAGTGGTTATCCCTCTGCTTTACCAACAGAAATTTCATTAAATTCCTGATGAACCAAGAAAAGCAAATAGTCTGGGATAATATTTTTTTCCTTTCTTAGGAAAAAACCAAACACCTTATATCTAGTGGAAAGAAAGGTGTTATAGATTGAAGAGCATGTTTATTTTCAGCACTGCACTGTGGAGCAGGAGAAGGCAGCTGCCTGCTTGCTGCTCCTCCTCTCTCGTTGTGGCAGTGATTGCCCAGATCAGGAGACACAAGAAGCACATGGAGCAGCATGTGCTCCACACCACCATATTTCACAGCAATACAGCTACTTACCCCCTAATTCAATTAAATACTGGGATTTGGGTGTGCATGGAGGGAGAGTAGAGCAGAGAGGGTTAAAATCCATGCTAAATACTTTAGATAGGAGTCCTGCCATTTAAGGGTAGTCACCTGATTGCACAGACTTTATAAACAGAAGGGCAAATCAGGCTCCTCCTGAAAGCACTTAACCTGCTCTGCAGCAGGGAGGGCAGCACAGAGGGATGATGTGCATGCCAACACAAGATCCTTATCTCTCTCCACTCCCTATGAAAGTTTCCTAGATTATCAGCTCAAATTCATAAAATTAGCTTCCGGGTGGTTAAAGTTGAATAAAATTAACCTCAGATGTATTTCCCTGTGAGAATATTGCAAAGCAGCAAAAGACATCTAAGCATCCTCTCAAATGCAGCAGATAAATGGTTTTTGCAAAACATTTAAAAATTATAATTTTACAATCCATTTTCTGAGTATCTAAAGTCACAGTCCTAAAATTCGCTAACAATTTCAGGAACTGACTGTGTGATAAGGAAGTCATATCAAATGCAGTCAATTAGAAAATCTGCATTCTGCTAGAGAAAAATAAATTGTTATTAATCTGCTCACTCTACTTCAGATATTTTTTCTTTTGACTCCCTGAATTTCCAAGACTGAGATCACATTTACTTGTTTTACAGTTTTGTTTTTCTGCACATGCCATACTTGCTTAGATTTTTGGCCTTTATTTTCTCCAATTTATAGGAGTGCAGCCAAAATTATGTATGGAACTGCCATGAAAAAAAGATCTTACGATTTCTTTCCAATGGCCTAGTGGAGTAAAAATGCAAGGTGTAAATTATATTTGCACCTTAAATAGATGAAAGGGTCACTTAAAAATGGCGGGGTGGTGGTTTCTCAATGAATCTAGAAATTAATTAGTCATTACAAGAGAGTGGCAATAATGGTTTGCAGAGGACTGGGAAAACTCAGAGGGAAAACATTTTTCCATTCCCATTCTTCTTGGAATACTAATCAAATCAATAGCTCTCCATTAGTTAGACCTGGGAGCTCTGCAGCTGAGTTCTGAACCTTCAGGGAATGAACAAAAGGCTTCTTGTCTGAGGGGTGTGTAACTCACAGAACAGTCATTTGGAGCACACTGGGATGGATGATAAAGCTCTTGGTGACGAGGCCTTGCACAGAGCATCACTTTGTGCTGTGATAGGTTACATCCAACATTCGGTGACCAGAAGGAGCCAGCTTTGCTTCCCTGCCTTGGACTTCCAGCAACATCAGTTTGTGGTTATGTGCTTGGTTTACAGTAGGGAAACATTAAGAAGTGGTCTAGACAGAGATATATTATAGAAATAAATACAATTGTAATTCAGATTACTCATTCCCTGTGCTAAAAACGGTCTAAAAATAGGAAACAGGAAGACAGTTACAGTCTCCAAATTTTTTATGTTCCTGTTTTCTTGAGTAATATCAGACACTGCTGATATGTGGTATGTGGGGCTGCTTCATGTGAAGTAGTAAAATAACAAAACATGGCTTGATAAGTTTAAGCAGGTCCTGGTATGTTTCAATCTTTTTTTCATTAATCAACTACATTTTTGTTTGAGCTGCAGCTGTATGAATGTATTATGTACCCAGGGATTAATTTCTATGGCTTCTAGGGACTTGCTATGGGATACTGGGCAAACAATTTAATCTTCAGGTTTGAGGTTTCCTGCCTAAATGGGTGGCACAATAAACTTATATTTTAAAATTTTAAAATCATAAGGGTTGTCATAATGTCTCAACTGATCTTATGAATATTAAAGCTTTTTAGTTTCAACCTGTGTCATGCCTCTATTTTACCCTCAAATTGTGCTTTAAGTAACACAGCTTTTGCAGAGCAGCACCGGTCTCACGCTTTCTGATAACATGAGGCAGTGAAGAACTTTTCATCACAGGCTGTTCCAGTAATTGCCTACCATCATTACTGGAAACTAATTTATAGTTTGCCTGTATTGGGCTGGTTGGATAGAGCTCTGAGCTCTGGCCTAGTGAAAGGTGTCCCTATCCACAGCATGGGAGATGGAATTAGATGATCGTTAAGGTCACCTCCAATTCAGGCCATTCTATGATTCATTCTATGATTATACTCAGGTGTTAAAAACTTCCTCTTATATCCTGTGTTAAAGATAATTTCTTCTGTGGGGAAGGGCGGCTTCTCCTCCTGATAGGAACTCTTAATCTAGGCTCTTCTCATGCTTTTTTCCTGGTGAATTAAAGAGATCAACTTATGTAAACATTTCAGGATGATACGTTTGCTAGAATCTGTGTCTTTTTTCTTCACCCTTTCCCATTCTTTATTATTCTTTTACTGCAAATGTTCACCTTGTATTCCCTGTGGGCTGTAGACTGACACAGCTAGACTGAAATGCAGTCCCTACTTTTACTGTGTTTATCAATAATGAGTTATAATAAAATGATTACAGAAAGTATTCACAAGTTTGCTGGGGCAAAGTTGAGAGGCCAATTATCTACTGTACAAAACCAACCCAGTTGTTATAATAACCAGCAGAAGTGGGTGGACATTGTAGTTAAAATACTTGGCTGCAGGGATGTTTCAAGGAACCTCTCTTTCAAATATCTTTCATATGATCTATTTCACACATTATTTTTCATAATGCAACATCATGGCATCAATAAACGCACTATAGTAGGCAAAATTTCTTTTCAAATGCTTCAAATTACACCAGAATGCTCTCTTATCATTCGACCATGGTTAATTGATTACAAAATAACCTTTCCCTTTAATTATTAGCTCAAACATTCTAGTTTAACAGAACTATAACAAGCTGAATTTCTTTCTAATCCAGGCCTTTTGTCACTCCATCTTCCTAAAGAAATAGACTTCTACACAGTAATATACCTTCAAGTACAAATTATATGTATCAAGCTTTACTTATTAGCCTTCCATAAAGCCTTAAAGACTCCACCAGCATCAACATTCGTCTGTCTCAAAATACCAGGAGAAAAAGTGTAATCCTGGGAAATTAAAGACCTCTTTTCCAATGTCTGAGTTATTCCCTGATTTGAATACTATGCTGAAGCACAGAAAATCATGGAAACATTGCTGTAGATCTGATGATGCTCTACAGTCACCTTTAAATTCCCAACCTTCCCCAAGTGCCACACTTGTGTTCTGCAAATGCTCCACAAGTGTTCCATTTGGCCATAATTCTACACATTTTCCCTGTTAATGCCATTTTTACTCAGTTCTCCAGTAAAATAGAGATGTCCATAGGTAAGGTAAATGGAAGGCACAGCATGTGGACTGTAGGATATAAGTGAACATTGAAGCCAAAAAGAGATGATCTGCATTTCAAAGAAAAAGAGAGAAATCACTTAATATTTGATGTCCTTTTGGTTTGGACTGTTTGTGTTCACAGTTTCACAAAATTGTCTCAAAGGAGCAGAGATAATTTATTGGGAGACTGATTTTGATATCGGTATGTGCAGCATGATAAATCATGCCAGTTTAAAGATAATTGCTTTTTAATAACAATATCAAAAGTTATACAATCCCACAGTAGAAACATACCAGTCTGACTCTCTAAAATTGCTTTTCACTCTTTTCACTGACATAATCTTCAATTACTTCAGGCGAGGTTACTGTGGTCATGACGTGACATGATAAAGCTTGATGTAGTAAATTAAAAATGAATAGGAAATTATTTATATATCACTGGCTGTATTATTTTCAGCAGTGGATGAGTTGTACTGAATATTAATGCCTGGGCTGTCTCGTGAGGTGACAGGCACCCGCAGGTCAATGAACCCACGGCAGAGTCTGTTGCAAAACATCAATCCCCAGAGATAAGAATGTTGTTGTCACCTGAATTCAGTTAAAACCCTGGTTAGTACTGACAGGGATACTCCGGTTAATCATTACTGAGACAGAACCCAGCCTTTTGTGCTGCTTTGTCCCCAGTTCTGAGTCCAAGCAGGAGGCAGCCCAGCCCCAGGCACGGGGATGGAGCAGAGCCCCTCATGTCCTGCCTGTCCTACAGCTGCCCAAGCCATAGTGTCCCAGGATTCCTAGTGAACACCACTGCAAAGAGCAGTGCTGACAGTGGGAGACTACCCAGAGAAGGAGAGCATCAGCCATTCCCTGGGTCTGCTCAAGCCTGAGCAAGAGGAAACAAGAGGAAACCACAGCAGGGAAAAGGCCCCAGTGGCTGGATAGGAGCCCTGTCACTAGAGACCCAGCATTTCCCAGAAAAAAAGAGCTGTAGGACGAGTGAAGAAATATGATGCATCATTGGCAGTGGTGAATTTTTATTCCCTGTGTGATTGCCAGGATTTTTGATTGCCTTAGAAAAGTTGGTGCTTGGTAAAAATGTTGTAATCTCTGAGAGATTTCACCATGCACCCTGCAGCTGAAAGTGCAGCCAGAGGAGAGGAACATTAGCCAGCTTCTCTGACCACTTTCACATTTAGCAGTCAGAAAAGCTCTCCAAACACCCGCATTTTTTGCTGCAGCAAATGCAGAAAATGCAGCAAATTTAAATTAAAAA